AAAGAGGGAAGGTTCTTTTATTTTAAGATAGCACCTTTGATTCAAGGGGCCAAGGTAGCTAACACTCACTGTAGAATCCCTTTGATATTTCTGGTTAGGGAAACTATTATAAATTACCATTATTGCCTTTGCACGGAAAGAACAGTAAAAGTGCAGAAGGATAAAGTAGTCTCCGTGAGGTGACAACAGTCATGGTAGACACTTAGGGTTTTAGCTTAGCATTCTGCCTTGGGAACGGTAACGTTGTTGAATATATTCCGTATCAAAACGTTGAATGGTTTCTTCCATTTTTAGAACATCTCTGTGGATGGATGTTAAATGAAAGGGCAGAACAGACAGTAAATTCCCACCATTGGAGAATCCTGGCTCTGCAATTATTTCCCGCAGTTCTTTACGTCAGCTGAGGTGTCCCATCAATTACACAGCTGTCCTCTGCTTCTTCAAAGTCCGAGTCAGCTGCACTCAGCCCCTGCCTTTCCAGAACTGCAGGGCTGGGGAGAACACCAGGATGGATGGTTATTCAGGTTCGGGCGGTGACCACTAAGAGCACTCTACTAAGCTGCCAGACGTACAAAAGCTATTTGAATTTGCTTAGATGTTTTAACTTCTCTGAATATTTGAGGAGAACCCATGCTCACCGGCCACCAGATAAAACAACTCCAGTGACGCCCTCCAGCCCGAATAATACCCTGTGTTTCCTCAGAGAAGGACAGATGTCAGGAGAAAAGCACTGTCAACGGTAAGCTTTCTTACACTCATGGCAGGAGGATCTGGTTTTTAATTTAATTGCACCAGAAAATAGTAAGAATGTTTCCCACTTCTACAAGGTGACATTACAGAGGCATAACTCTATAGAAGAGGGCCTCTGCCTAGCGCATTCACACCATTCTTATCCGGAAAGAGAAAATGCAGATTCCTATGTCAGCTTTAGTTTTCCTTCAGTTTCCCTGGGCCTTTTTTCCCCTTCGTGAGCAGGCTAGCTCCGTGGTCTATTTGTTTCCTACCTCTTTTCTACACAGACATTAAGGACGCCAAGCTGGGGATCAGCAGATGGTGTAATGGTTACGTTGCTGGACTTTCACGTGGTGGACCATGGTTCCAATCCCCGACCTAGAGGTTTAAAACTCTCACGCTCTTTAGAAAAAAGAATGTCAAGCTACAGTAACTTGGACTTTTAGAGATTTGATTACCAAATTAACCATAGAGGGACAAGGCCACTCACTGAACTTAGTCTATGGACCGCCACCAACTTAAAAACATTCAAGGGGGAAGAGAGGGGTTTCCCTTTTCCTTCTTTTAGAAAAACGAGAACACAGAACATTTTCCAGAAAAGCCCCCGACTTGTCCCCTGAACCTTGCTCCACATTCACACTTCCAGCCTTTCCCCAAAACTGCTTAGGCACGAAAGCCATCCACCGACAAAACACCTGGGAAGAATACAAAAGAAAATATGTAAAGAAGCTTTAACAGAACCCTTACTTAAACAGTTGGATAATAGAGTGTGTGTGTGTGTGTGTGTGTGTGTGTCAGTGTGTGAGGGGGCGGTATTACGAAAATTGTTATGAAAAAAGTGAAATAAATACAAATACAGCAGAAAAAAGTCCAGCCCCCAAAAGCACTGGACAGTCGTAAAAACGGATGTCATAAAGGGACAAATTACTGATGCGATCAACGGCACCCGTGCAGGAGGGAGCGGAGAAAAACCCAGGGAAGGTCAGTGGAGACGCGCAGAGGGCGGTGTGCCCCTGGGAGGCTCCTCCTGAGGGTAGTGGGCGGTCATAATCAACTTGCCCTATGAAAAGTCACCTTTTCTTTGACGTCCAAGGTGGACAGGGAACGGCAGGTGACTTCCTAGAATGTACCGATCCTCGGCGGGGGCAGAGGGCCTCCTGCCCACCCAGGTGCGGTTCCAGGTGTGACCGCGCGTCCCGGTAAGCGGCGCCGGGCCGCAGAGGGCGAGGTCCGACTGCTCAGAGGCCGCGCCCACGCCTGGCCCCCGAGGCTCCGGGGCGCGGGGCTTCCCGAGGCCGGGAGTCGCGGCGCGCCAGGTTCTCCTCCTGCACCGGGCGGCTCACCGGCTCCGCGGCCGCGACGCCCGGGCCCGCCGCGCCCTCCTGCGAGGTCTGGCTGACGTAGACCACGATGATGTCGCCCTTGAAGTTCATCACTTGCCCGCTGGAAATGAACGTGGAGTTGCTGTTCCCTGTGACGTTTCCTGCGGGAGCGAGACGAGACAGCGGAGAGGTTGAGTCAGCGGCGCTGGGGCTCCTGGGCCGAGAGATCCCGGAGACCGGAGTGCAAAGACCACGCCTGGAAAGCACCCTCCTGAACCCTGAAGGCCTCTGTCCCTAGGGGTTCTGACTTCGGGACTCTGGGGGTGCCTTTAATGATGGGCCTTAGGGGAAACAAGGCACAGCCCATGCCCGGCAGCCTGTGCCTCATGTTAGTCTCCCCTTTTAAAGCTGGGCTCCAAGCGGCCAGCAGAGGGCGTAGTGGTTACGTCGCTGGACTCCCACGTGGGCGATTCCGGTTTGAGTCTCGGAACCCGGAGGAGGAGAGGGGATTGAGGCATGGCCATCCCCCCTGGGGGCCGTGATTTCTTACTCTCTCGGGCAAGCGCATGTGCCCTACAGCAAAAAAAAAAAAAAACCCCCTCTAAAAAAAAAAAAAAAAAAAAAAAGATGCTCCAGAAATTCCCCAGGTGAAAATAAGTACCAGAGACCAAGCAGATCGAGAAAGTCCCCAACACTCGGCATCACAGACAGAATCTTGTAGTCTGGCCAGGGACCCCAACTTCAAAATAGCTTCTTGGTATTCACTGCCCCCTTTTTTCTTCTCTATTGTGAAGCAGCTTACTAATAATTTATACAAATAAAATGAAGTTTCTGTCACTACTTCGCAAGAA